TTTTTATGCTATTACCTTATAATATCATGATTGCGGGTATTCCCGTTGTTCTCGCAGGGCCATTAAAAACCAATTAACAATAAATAATGGTATAAATTAAATGGTATAATTGTTTTCCATGTCTTTGTTTAGTTTTGGCGATTTCAGATATCTTCATTTATATTCATTTTTTCTAATCGTACCTGCTTTGACGTCGTTTCGGGTAGGATTAGAACTAATTCTACCTGACATGACGTAAAAGCGGGTAGGATTAGAAAATATGAATATAATGAGGTGTATTAGTTTTTAATTGCCCTGCGATAACAAAGGGAATACCCGCAATCATGATATTATTCTTTTAACACACCCTTCCGTTAAGTATACGTCATTTTGGCTACAGAGCCTCGTTTTCGTCATTGAAAGTGGTCCTTAATTGATGTCAGACACACGAGAACGAGGCTTTATAGCCACAGTGACGTACTTTCCTGAAGGATGTATTCTTGGGTTTCACTACTGCATTATGCAGTGAATCTGACGAGGGGTCAACCTCAAATGTATTGATGCTTATACTGTACTGTACTATGATACAAAATTCCATGTATTTGCCACCAAACACAAGGCTAATACATAAAACGAACAATCGACTCACTCTAATAACTGTGTTTTGTTTTAGAGTTGACCCCCCCCCCCTCCCCCGTCACTTCTGTGACGTCATATGAAACTCAAGAATTGGAAAATCAAAAATCTGATAACCGTGATCTGACAGAGTTTACTTGTGTCATGAATTGCAATGCAATGGTTAATCATTTTAAATATTGAGTTGATAATTTTTATTTTAGATCACAACAAGTTATTTAACTTGGGGTGGAATAACAATTCATTACGCTCAGGTATGGTTAGCATTTGATGATTTTGCAGAAAACACATCACTGTCAGATATGAACTGACTACAAACGTTTTCTACAACTGCTTAGATCTTTAAAGAGATGCAAAGACAGAAGAATTTACACAACTTTTTGTTGGATGTTATCAAGTAAGTGTCAAGTGTGAAATGAGATTCCCTTCACGTTTTACTTGCAGGGGCGAAACTAGCTCCTTTTAATTCGGGAGGTGTCTGCCAGAATTGCCCTGCCAAAACCGATGATGCCCGGAAAAATTTTTTTCCGGACATTAAAGAGAGGGGACATTAAGGGTCAAAAAATTTTTCCATACAAATTCCTGTTAAAACATCCTTATTTTTGGACCAATATCTGTAAAATTTAGGTCTATAAATTCTATTCAATTCCCTCTGAAAGCCCTGTAAGTTACTTAATAACTCTACATTCTATCATTTAAATCTTTGATTGCCATGCCAATCCAGATGATTCGTATTTTGGGGGTGTCACACCCCCCCATACCCCCCCCCCCTCAAGTTTCGTCCCTGTTTACTTGTATTTTTCAGATAGTTGAATCCCTAACCATCTGCAATTTTCTCATGAAATTAAATTACTACAGCATCTACATTAGTTTGTCTGAATAATAGAATCTTATCTTCTTCAGGTCTTTGTTTGATGAAATGGACACAGTCGATGGTGTTATCACCAATGTGATGGTATGTATTACCTGCAAAGGTTTCTGGTAGGTCTCTAGCCCAAATATATATTTTGTAATAATGTATTAATAATTGTAATGTACATGGGAAAATAAAAAAAAAATTAGAAAAACTAAAAAAACTAAAAACGGTAAAACAGCTTGCTGATTTTTTTTCAGACATATGCGAAGCGCCTTGTGGAAGCCGACAGATGTGCGATGTTTCTTACGGATGAAAAGACGAACGAACTTCACGCTGATCTCTTTGATGAAGGAAAACTGGATGAAAATGGATGTGCTTTCTTTTCAAAAGGGAAGGAGATACGGTACGGCAAACCGACTGGGATGGCTGGCCGGCCTATACCGACCGGCGGACTAACCGGCCGACCGACGGACTTGTCCGACTGGTTCATTGACTCATTCATCCCTTTCTTTTCACATATATGAACGTCTCTTAGTCGAAGCAAGGAAAGAGTTCGATAAATTTATGGTTTTGACCGACATCAGTTGTCTGTATTACTCTTTAAACACAGTCTTAATTGCAATAGAAAATAAAAGACCTAAGTTAAAAAACATCAACTCTTTCTCGACAGGCCCCAATTAGAACTTAATGATGAATTCGTAAAGTTCAAAGAAGAGTACTTTGCAGGTTCATATCTTCAGTTCAGTACATGTGATATGAGGACAGAAACACCACCGTTCGATTCAGCAAAACAATATCTCCTAATTCTTTACGATATTAAAAACCTACTATATACACATATAAAAGATTGGCGATACAGATTTACGAGAAAATTTACGAAATCTCGCTTTTGTAGTCAAATAATCAAACTTGCCTTTTTCTTTGACACGATATAGATTCAGCAGTGAAAAAGGAATTGCTGGTTATGTGGCAACATCGGGAAAACTACTGAACATCAAGGATGCTTACTCGGACCCAAGGTTTAACAGAGAAGTAGATGTAAAGACTGGTTATACAACACATACCATCCTTTGTGTACCGATGACGTGTAAGGACAGGTGAGACTGCAGACAAAACTTTGAAGTTAGAATCCCTTCGTCGAATCTCTCATTGTATATTTATTCTGAGAATGCATGTAATGTGCATAATGTGTTTTGTTTCATTTCAGTGTTGTTGGTGTTGTTCAATTGATAAACAAACGGAAAGGGATTTTTACTTCAGCAGGTACAGTCAATAATGTATTATTATTATTATTATATTTATATTTATCCAGGATACCCACGTCACCGAAGTGTTTTTCAGTGGGGTCCTGCATTATAAATTTCAACTTCAATATACATATACATTACAAAATAACATGCAAATCTACAATAACATGCGTTAACGTACTTATACTATATATATATATATATATATATATATATATATATATAGAATTTCGCTTACCTCAAAATTCCGCAACAGTCTGTTTCATCAGTAAAGAATCATCAGGCGGATACCGCCTGATGATTCTTTACTGATGAAACAGACTGTTGCGGAATTTTGAGGTAAGCGAAATTCTACATTTGCTCTATCTTTATGATATTGAGCACTCTTTGCGTTTCGTATACACAAACCTACTCGTATATATATATATATATATATATATATATGTTATATATTTAAATACGAATGTTATATATATATATATATATATATATATATATATATATATATATATATATATATATATATATATATATATATATATATATATATATATATATACATACACTTTGTAGGCAGCACAGGCAGACATGTAGGCAGCACAGCTCAGCTCAATGCAATTTTGAAAAACTTTTCAATTAAGTTCGTGAATATTTGTACTATACGAAAGTGAAGTTTCGTAAATTTTGAAAGTAAGAAAATTTGTATGCCTTATAATGCCACAGACTTCATTCGCAACAGCAATAACAAATGTACAAATTCACATTATTCAGACTTGCACCCTGTACAACCCTGTAAAGTGGCAATGCGCCCAGATGCGCCCTACTTTATTATTTTACTCTGTCTAACGCCAGACAATTTTACTCGTCAGGGGGAGAGCGCTGCCATTCAATGGGTTAAAAACCATCATTCGAAAGCCGGCTCGACTGTTTCTTTAATACATATGTAATAGGTACATAAACTACTTCGCGTTTGTTTTATTGATTGTAGATGAACATGCTTTCACTTTATTCGCTGGATACTGTGGTCTAGCCATTCGATATTCACAGGTAAGACTATAAGTCATTTTGTGATCAGTTGATTTGGTGGATGACTGCCTGACCAATCAACTTCCTGCCTTATCGACTAATTAACTTACTTATTGGTTGATATCAGTATATCTTGAATCGGTTAGTTGCTGATTACTTTAACTATCACTTAGTTCAGGCTGGTTCACACTATCAAAGTTTCAGTGAACACAGTAGGAATATTGCAAAGGTAAGTTCTAAGTTTTGAAGGATTTGTAAGAAATGTTTGAGGGAACTCACTTATAGTGTTAAACACCGAATCAGTTTCCTCAAGCATTTCTTACAAGTCCTTCAAGAATTTACCTACGCAAAAATTCCTACTGTGATCACAGAAACTTTGATAGTGTAAACCAGGCTTCGATATGGACATATGGTCTACTTCACCCAGGGACGTCGTGAAGACATCCACATTG